CACTTGACTGCTAACCAGAAGGCTGGCAGTTCAAACCCACCAGCCACTCCTCAGAAGGAAGGTTAGGCAATCTACTTCCGTAGTGATACTGCCTTAGAAACCCAAGGAGGAGTCACTATGAGTTGTGTCCAACTTGACAGGACATAACAACAACAACAACACTGGAGCTAAATGTTGCTAGGAGAGAGACAAACAGACATGTAGAGAAGGCTGTACTGACAGGAAGGAGGTATAACCACAGAGAGGAAACAGCTATTTGGTGTGCCTAAGAAGACACAGCTAGGGGCAGTTGCAAGAGAGATTCCTGGGCCTTTACTCAGATGTGGATGTATCAGAAGCTTGTAGCACTACAGATCCCTGTTGATTGGAATGGTGGGCTTCTGGCAGCAACCCTTGTAGAGCATGGCATTGCCTTCACACTCCTGCTCCCAGCAGCACTGTACTTTCATGCCTTGACACTGCATAACTCTGGCCCAACATAGCCAAGAAAAGAAATTCTCAATACTAGCTCTAAAACCAGTAATACTTCATTTTCCCCAAGCCTGATCCAGAGGCCTATCACCCAGTTGGACATGAAAATGTTACTTTATCCACTGAAGGTGATTTAATAAGTTTCCTTATTCCTGGTATTATTTCCAACAACGAAGCCTCATTGACAGAGCCATCAAATATTGAGTGTTTATTGAACAGAGCACCCTGCCAGGTACTATGAAGGATAATCTGAATAGTTTTACTCTGAATCAGGAGAGATCCCTGCCTTAGACTTTCTTTTGCAAATAGGCAAATCATTCTTCATTTAAGAAAACTTTATTAAGTATCTGTGATATTTCCAGTCATGCCACTTCGAGGATGAAGGATGGTTCAAAAATACATAAGATTCTGCTTTTTTCCTGGAGGAAATCACAATCTACTCAAAAAGGCAGACAGATAAACCAATAGCTAGACTACAGTGTAAAACTTGCTGTATGTACAAAGAAACAACCAACCATCCAACCAGGAAGTAAAGGATGACATCAGAGAAGGTGATTCTGAAATTCAATCTCAGATAAAAATCTGACATTGTTAGAGAAAGATACCCCAAGGAAAGGCAAAATGCAAGAGCTAGGGTATGTTGCAAGAAGTCAGGTTTGTTAAAAGAATGGTAAGAAGCTGTCTGACTAGATTATCCTTTAAGGCAGCTAAATGTCCCTTTTGGAAAAAAACTCTGCCAGCTTCCTCCACTCCACTACTCAGTCTGAGTCAGTTGACCCTCTTACTGGCTCCCACATCACAATGGTGTACTCCCCTCACTGTATGTCAATAGTTATTGGAGCCAGAGTCTATGAACTCATTGAAGACAAGTTTATTTCTCTTATTTTCTCTAATATAGCAAGAAGCTTGACACTCAAGTGTTCAATAAGTGTTAAAGGAACACAGGAGAGAAGGAAGGAAGGGAAAGATGGAGGGAAAGAGGAAGGGAGGGAAGAAAGAAGGGAAGGGAGGGGCACATGGAGAGAAGTTGCCAGAAATAAAATTAAGTTGGGACAAGTTTTTGTGAAGGAATTAGTCATGACAGCAGAGGCAGGGAAGGTTTACTGAAGAAGTTTATATCAGATGTAGGAAACATTGATAGTTCAATGGTAGAATTCTCACCTCTCATGCAGAAGACCTGGGTTTAATTCCTGCCCAATGCATGAGTTTGATTTCGACCAATGCACCTCATGTGCACCCATAACTTACCCATCATTGGAGGCTTGTGAGTTGCTATGATGCTGAAAAGGTTTCAGTGAAGCTGCCAGGCTGAGAGAAAGGCCTGGCAATCTACTTATAAAAAACCAGCAAAGAAAACCCTATGGATTATAACAATTGGATCCAAAAATCTATCATGGGGATGGCACAGGACTGACAGCATTTTGTCCCCTTGTGCATGGAGCTACCATAAGTCAGGGCCAATTAACAGGCAGACAGCAACAACAGCTCAGCTTTGGGAAATGAGCAGCTTCCAGGCTCTGGGAACAACAACCAAACCAAAAACCAACCCTCTGCCAGTGAGTCAATTACGATGCATAGCGATCCTATGTTATTGTTGTTGTTGTTATGTGCCGTGGAGTCGGACCCGACTCATAGCGACCCGTCCTTGGGTTTCCGAGGCAGTATCACTACGGAAGTAGGATTGCCCAACCTTCCTTCCGAGGAGTGGCTGGTGGGTTTGAACCGCCAGCCCTCTGGTTAGCAGGCAAGTGTCTTAGCCACTATGCTACAAGAGCTCCCAGAGATCCTAAAGATTTACAGCCTTGAAAACGGTATTGGGGAGTTTTACTCTGTCCTATAGGATCTCTATAGGACAGAGTAAAACTCCCCAATACCGTTTTCAAGGCTGTAAATCTTTATGGAAGCAGACTGCCTCATCTTTCTCTGAGAACAATCACGCACACACACATATGCACGCATTGCCATCGAGTTGGATCCGACTCCCAGCGACCCCTCCTTAGGTTTCCGAGGCAGTATCACTACGGAGTAGATTGCCCAACCTTCCTTCCGAGGAGTGGCTGGTGGGTTTGAACTGCCAACCTTCTGGTTAGCAGTCAAATGCCTTAGGCACTACGCTACCAGAGCAATAGACCTGTACTAAAACACTTACCAGCTAGTAATATACCTTTGGACAAAATACCCCTTATAGTCTTAGTTTCCTTACCTCTCAAATGAGGCTAACACACACACCCCACCCAGGTTGTTCTGAGTATTAAATGAAATTTTACACACAGAGCACTTAACACAATGACAGGCCACTCTGGTTGAACACTCAATAAATGATGTTGTTGCTGTGTGCCACAAAGTTGATTTTCACTCACAGGAGCCCCATGTGACAGAGTAGAACTGTTCCATAGGGTTTTCTTGGCTGTATCTTTACAGAAGCAGATTGCTAGGTCTTTCCCACAAAGCTGCTGAGTGGGTTCGAACTGACAAACTTTAGGTTAGCAGCTGAGTACTTAATTGTTTATATCACCAGGGATCTTTCAAT